AAAAAAAAAAAAAAACCAAACAAAAACAAAACCAATAGATCTCTCAGCTTTTATGGTCCTTTTTATTTATTGAGATTTTATCATATTTTCTGATGATTGTCAAATAAACTCTGTTCATTAAATTTTATCTATGTCAACAGTGTAAGGACAAAAGACTTATTTATGAGTCCAAAAAACCTTGACAAACATTCTAGGGATGAGGCATCCATAACTTCTCTGGGCAACTGTTTCAGTGCCTCACCACCCTCACAGTAAAGAATTTCTTCCTAATATCTAACCTAAATCTACTCTGTTGCAGTTTAAAGCCATTATCCTTGTCCTATCACTACATCCTTGTAAGTTGTCCCTCTCCAGCCTTCTTGTAGGTCCCCTTTAGATACTGCAAGGCCACAATAAGGTCACCCCGGAGCCTTCTCTTCTCCAAACTGAACAACACCAACTCTCGGCCTGTCATTATAGGAGAGGTGCTCCAACCCTCTGATCATCTTTCACAGCCCATGTCCTTATGTTGGGGGCCCAAGAACTGAGTGCAGCACTGCAGGAGTGGTCTCACAAGAGCAGAGGGGCAGAATCTCCTCCCTTGATCCACTGGCCACTCTGCTTTTGATGCAGCCCAGGACACAGTTGGCTTTCTGGGCTGCAAGCACACATCGCTGAGTCACATCAAGCTTCTCATTCACCAGCATCCCCAAGTCCTTCTCCACAGGGCTACTCTGAATCCATTCTCCTCCTAGCCTGTATTTGTGCTTGGAATTGCCACAGTCCAGATGCACGACCTTGGCCTTCATGAGGTTGGCACAGGCTCACTTCTCAAGCCTGTCAAAGTCCCTCTGGACATCACCCCTTCTCCTCAGTGTGTCAACTACACCACAGCTGGAAAGAAATACCTCTTCAAAACAGAAGGAACTCTGTTTTCCATCATACACCTTACATTTCCTCTTAACAGTGCACCCCAACAACAAATACTTCAGTTATAACTCCAAAGTCTGTTGTGACTGAAGCTTTTCTGGTTCAAGCCACTATCAATTCAGTGAACTCCAGTATTACTAGTTCACTGTGGAAATCAAAATAACTACTGTTTGGTAGCTGGGTGTACTGAAATATCAAAGGCTCTTCCAAAGCTTACAAGGACTGTAAGGAGCACAGTGAAAGTATGGGGCAAATGGGGAATGGAGATGTACCTCTCTGCCTATACCTCAGAGAAATGAGTGGTATCCATAACACTTGCAGTAAATGCACATCTTTGTGTATTTTTATTTAAATTTAGCCTTCTTTAGGAAGTCATACTGAGACAGATTTTCTAGAAACATCATTTAGAATTTTCTCTTTCGACAATCAGCTGGAGTTGGCCAAGTTCATTGCAGTGACAGACAACTCTGGACCCAGGAAGTAGATGTAGCAAAAACACCACCACTCTGGTTTTTAATCTAAACTTCATGGCACGCTTCAGCACCAACAGGGGCAACTTTTGCTGAGATCTTTCCCTGTAAAATACCGTGCAAAGATGCCCACTGGGAGTTGAGGTATTATTTTGACATTTTTCCATTTATCTCAAGAATCATGTGTATGGTGAAATGCTTTCTAGACATATCAATATTCAAGCCTCAAAAAAAATCAATAGTAGTTGAACAAGAACTCATTAGACTAACAAAATACAACAAAAGAATAAAAAAAAATAAAAGCAAGCATCGGCCACAGCATTTCAAATTTAAATTGCCTAGGAATTTATTTAAATAAGGCAAGACACTGAAATAAGACTGGTTTTCTGTTTTTAAATTTACTCACTAGGTTTTAATGCATATAAATGTTGCCAGATGGAAATCTGTTCATACACATTTTTCTATATTTTATCAGAAGAGTCAACACAGATGAATTTCAAAGGAGAGGTTCTTTAAAGAAACTACATGAAGTCTAAGTGCAAACTATACAAGTCAGCATATGAATCTAGAGGAATAGACAGCAAGCTTTGCCAAGGTGTTCAAAAGAATAAAAATCAAAAAAGTGGCTTAGTTAAACAGCAAAGAATACTGAGCACTTGCAAAGAATATCACAACCAAGCACTACAGCATCAATTCCAGCCTTCAAAAAAAATCAAAGAGAATTTCTAATGAACAATGTCACTTCTGTAGCAGGTTGTGTTTTTATTATTGTTATATTTTATTGTACTAGTTAAAAGCATGAATTTTTGAAAAGATAAAGAAAACTAGGTGCAAAATCCAGGTTACAAACAAACACCTAGGAGAATAAGTACATTTGTAATGCATGGTTATTTTGGCAAAGCTCTCTAGAATAAAGGCTAAATCTGTTGCTAGTTTCAAAGAGGAGGTCAAACTAACAATCAAAAGCTACATAAAAAGATTTCAGAAAGTTGAATAACACAAAGAGCAATTTTCCTTAAGATAGTGGACTGTGTTATGTATCCAGCCTCGTGACAAAACATGCAAACAAAACACCTTAGCACATTTGGCAATAGTTGAAATTCAGTTGAAACTACATGTTCCAGGAATGGGTTGAAGAATGAGCGAAATAAAGAAATAGGGCATATTTATGCAGCAAAATGGATATGGTGGAAGTGATTTAAAAGTGATAGGTTTGAAATCAGCCTTGATGTAGCAATGGTGCTAACCATTCTTAGCAAGTTTTTGGGTGTCTGGGGTTTGGTTTTCGTGGTTTTTGTTCCCTCCTATTTGAGACTTCTTTGGATCTGCGTCTCTTGTGATCACAAGGAAGTGTTTTTAGTGTTACTTTTTAGAGCTACCTATTACTTCAATTTAGTATCCAAATTGATGTTATTCATTCTTTATCATGAACAATTAACACTGTTAATTAAAAAAAAAAAAAAAAAAAAAAAAAAAAACCAAACACAAAACACACCAACCAAACAACACTGCCACCACCACCACTCCCCACATACTAAAACCAGAAGAACAGACATGTAAAAAACTCACGAGGTCATTTTATAACACGAAAGTTTTCATAACTTTTGGACAAACATTGATATATTAAGGCTTCCTAAAATTCTACCTGCTACAGTACTAAACGCTCTCATAGGAACAGGGATGGAGGAAAACACTAGGACAGAAAACAAGGAGATTTGCAAAGATCCATGAAGCATTTAGGCAGGTATAGTTGCCTCTGGCCTCTGAAAAACTCCTTAATTGTCTTATTAAAGTCATAAAAAAAAATCTAGGTCAGTCACAAAAGGAACCCAAGACTCTTGAACTGTATTTTCATACCTCATAACTGGCTGGCATAGTAGGAGGGAAAAAACCCAGTAGTACCTGTTACCACTGTTGGAGTATGTTGTCATATGGAAAGAGATACAACTCCATAAAAAGAAATTATTTTGAATACTTTCTTGTTGCGCGACTTTTAGAATTTCAACAAGCCCTTTCAAAAAACAAATAGGGAAAACCAAAAAGCAATCTAATAACAAAGGCACACATCAGAATGCAATTAAGCTAAACCACCCGAAGTACACAATTATTTTATGCAAGAACATTTGTATAAGAAATTCTTGCCCTTATTGCTCATCTGTGGCACCACTGGAAAAGCCTGTGACACTTCCTTCACCCACAAGTTCATCCAAAGTCCACTCAAGTCACTGTGACTTCTGAAATATTAGTAAGAAAAAACCCAGGAGGTATTTCTGGATCCACATCTTAACAGGAAAAAAAAAAATATGAGAGAAAACTGAAGCATTTAAATAATTTTCACAGAAGTAGTTGTGGTCAGATGTTTAATTTTGATAGCAGCCACAGCAGGATCAGCATATTTATTACTGATATTAAAGTGAATTAGAAGTTTAAGTAAGAATGGCATAATGAAATTATGAACACATATTATGTAAAGAACCGGTCAAAGAATTATCCCCAAATTCTCAGCACTATGAGGTCAGCACATACTGTAGGTCAGTAAAATGACAGTAGCTAAACAAAAGCAGACATCCACCCTTTAAGATGAGGTGAGAAGGAGGACAGAACAGTCAGCCCAACTTCAATTCTCACAAATGATGGGCCTCAGTGTACTGACTTTTCAGGAACAAACTGTGTCAAACTTGTCTCATTCCTTCCTCAGTATCACAGCTGACTAGATAATGGGCACAAAGTACATATCACTGAGGCTTTCAATGAGGTTCCATATACAAATCATCACATACAAACTAGAGAAATGGGATTAAAACACTAAGTTTTAAGTGCTCATTTGACTCACATTGAGAAGATATCTGTGAATCATTCCAAACTCAATGGGTATTTCAAGTAGAGTCCCACAGGAGTTTGTTCTGGACTTAATTACATTCAATATTTTTTATATAACAGATGCTGCATAACAAGCATATTCAAGTACATCAAGATAGCACTGAGACAGAAGCAGTTTCCAAGGGATAAAGAACAGTATACTGGGACCAACTTGAACACCTCATTTTTCAGTTAAGACTGAACCAAACTGAAGAGTGAAAAGACTAAACGAAAGTTTACCAAAGCACTACTTATGAACAAACGCTAATGAAACAGGATTTGCTTCTTCAGAAACAAGAGGATGTGGTGGTTGAGCCCATCTGGTGCTTAGACCATAAGTATCCTTACAAAGAGGCATTTTCTCTCGCTCCCTCCAGCAGTATAGCACAGAACTTATTACAGTTCTTTCTCCTGCTGCTCCACTCAAGGAGGTGATGAACCTGATGCTTCCGCAAGAACTAAGTTAGAAAAATGGGTTAGCAAACTGATTTACAAGACTGACCCAATTTCCACTAGTTGTATTTGATCCTGCCTCTCTGCTGAAGTCCTGCCAAGATCTCCCAAGGTTCCTTTCACACACTATGATTTCTGTTGATTATGTTGCTATTTTTATCTCCTGGTAAGTGAAACAAACAAAGACAAAACCAATTAGCAAAATTCTTATCAAACTTCTAGACAGCTGTAAGCAAAACTTCGTTTTCCAACATTCTTTGTAGACTTACTCAGACTCAGAATATTTCAGCTTTTTTACTTTAAGAACGTTTTTCTCCCACCCACCATGAATGCCAAGCCTGTCAATCACACTAACAACAACAAAATACATATGGGACAGTTTAAGGAGGAAGAGCAGACATGAGAAACTGCTTCTTTAACTTGCTTGGAATCAACTCCAATGTGTGCCTGGGAGAAGAAAAATGAGTATGTGGTAAGTCATGTTACTTTCGTTATTTTTGTATAAAACAGGAAAAAACAAACAGTTTTGTTTTTTATGAACAATAAAATATGAACAATAGTTCATATTTTATATAGAGTAAGATTTCATTGAGCTATTTTGCTCAAGTATATTTTCCTGAGAGCAGTATTCTAGTGTTACATACAGTAAAACAAATTGTTTGCAGCAAATATGGGTTTTTGCAAAGCAGAACTCGACTTTGAAAGTTTGGAACTAAGTTTAACACATTTAGTTCTTATGGCCATGAAAATTTATGTATCAAAATTAAAAATTACTTATATTTAGTAAGAAATGCCAGTGGTATGATCCAGGAACCCGTTTTTATACTGCTCTTTAACTATCTCTATGAAATCACAAATTGAGAACCCACTTCACAAAAAGCCTGTAAAAATTTGCCTGTTACCTGGTTTGCACATTTCAGACTCTAGGAAACAAACTTATTGAAATATACACTGTAATGGTGTGTTAACTCTGCTTTACATACAGGTTATATATGAGAATTAAGTTCTGTTTAGAGGTCAAATTACCTGATGTATAAAATGCACACATGAAGAGACCTATGAAATTTGGTAGTTCTGAAGTATTAGATGTCTTTTTTGATTAGGGGAAAAAAAAAATCTTAATATAGAAGATCAAACTGCTACCTTCTTTGGAGGAGAGAAATTTCAAGGAGTACAGATTAAAAGTGTTAGTATCTCCAGTAAGATACAAGTTTGAAACAACAGATTACACCCTGCACTTGTACCCAAACACATTTTTAAGTCTGCCAGTGTCCATGCCAGATCAAGAGGCTCCAGGGAATATTTGGTAGTAAGTGAAGTTGACCTGCCCAGGGCTAGTGCTGTTTCACACTCAAGTATCTACAATTTGCTTCAAAGCTTTATATAAGCACCTGTATGTTTGGAAAGAAACAGTGTCTGTAGCCGCTCTATCTGGGGGACTCTGGAAGCCTCAGTATTCTGTTCAAGGATTCCCCCTCTGCAGTCCTCACAGCCAACTTGTGTTCAAGTGCATGTATTTCTTTGAATTGCCATGAAAAGGGATACACTACATAGAGTAACTAGAAGTATTTGGGTACTAAGTAGAATTGGTAACCTAAGATGGGGTTCTCCAGCCAGCAATTCTTGAAATAATCCCCTTTAGAGTAGTTGAAAGCAAGTGGAAGTGCATGATAATATTCTCCATTTCTGTTGCACACACTTGAAGAAAGAAAACTACAGTATTGATCAAGCCAAAGACAATATCATCATCAAGAGACAAGTTGCAGGATCCCACATGAGCATCCCCATGTCCCTGTTTTGTTGCTGTTGCTGTTGTTCTCTTTTTACTGTTGTCATCATCTTTAATTGGATTAAAACACAAATGGAAAAATATTTCTTGCAAGCTGCAGTCCCTTTGGCTCAACCACCTATGCTACAGCCCCTTTGGAAACACAAAAATGAATATAACCTTCCCAAATAGATCTCTGTCTCAGTGGAGAGAGGTGAACTGCATAAGCACTGGTTTCTTGAGAATACTCTCCCAAGAATCTAGAATACAAATAGAATTAATGTCAACATAGGCAACGACAGAAGAATTAACCAGAAGATAGTGTTGGGGGAGAGCAGTCAGAGAGAAACCAGGTGCAAGAAGGAGGCCTGGGCACGGCAGTGTGGGTGAGCTGGCAGGGTAGAGCCTCAGCCCACACTGCAGACTACCAGGCAGTGTAGGAACAGGACAGTGGAGGGCAGCAGGCAGCCAGGAGCAGCTCCTCACGTGTCAGGATTTCTGGAAACCCTCATGGGCTCATAGGCAATGTAAGAAGAGGGGAAGGTACGGCTGGCAGCATGCACTGAATTGCAAAATTCTTAAAGCACTATTTTTTATTTGCCTTTGAGACATTCTGAACTAGAACTGGCTTACACCTACTCGGTAACCAAACAGCCCGTACTGCATAAATAACAGCATTGCTGCGCTTCACGTTATTCATGTTTCACACCTGATGGCATCTGTTATTTTGTTGTTTCCCATAAGCAGCCATTAAACCTGTAAACTCACACATCTCCCATCCGGCTGCTTCCCACCTCCACACACAACAACTGACAAAATCACTCCTGCATGCAAACTAGACAAGCAAAATTTCTTAAGGAATACATGCACCTCTCTTCTGGTCCTGCACACAGTGGAAGACAGCATTGATGCCTACTGTCATCCAGGGAGACGGTGTACCCTTGGAAAAACTCACAGCCAACACTATGAAATATTAAACACTACAAAACACTATGAAATTCAACATAATTTTTTTATAATATACCAGCCAGGCACCTGGAGATTATTCTGAGGAGGTCAAATTTAAGCTGCAAGGGCTTCTATCTCATTTCTGAAACTCCAGGAATTGAGTTTTGCCAGATTCACTGTTCTGCAAAATCACAAGATAGCAAAAGAGTATTCACTGTCAACTACTGATCTGTCAGTCACTCTAACAGTAAAAATACATTCAGAGAAATCTGAAGGAGAACAGATGAGACATTTCAGCTTATCTGAAATCCATTTTAATCATTGAACATGTGCCCCAAATCCATTTTGCACTGGGAAATAAAACAGGAAGAGTAATTGGAAAGCAGAATATAACATTCCTTGGTCTCTGGCCTTTTATGGAAGCTTTCATATTTGTCCTGTTGTGGTGACTCAGAATTGCTGAGCAAAATAATCTGGGTTTGTTTCAACAGCTGCAGCTGCATCTTGGCAATTTTATTGCCCATTTTATAGAGCAATGGCTCTCAAACATTTCCCCCCTTACATTAGAATATGAACCCTGAGCCCTTCTCCAATTTAAAAAATTCATATCCTGTTTTCTCCAACTGGAAGTGTATTCTCTGTTTGTATGAGAGGTGAAAAGGAAGAGAAGGACTGAGTGGGGCAGGAATGCAGCTCAGAGGAGATGTCTGGACAGGGGTGGGAAAGGACTAGAAGTTCCCATCCTGAGCCTTGATGGCACTGCTCCCTGACTCCACCGGAGCCTCAACCTCCACTAAAAATATCTGTCTTACTCCTTCTGCAAACCAGGAGAAATTCCTGGCTGTGCCTGCCCAGTTCATTTACCTCCTTGAACAGCAGTCATGGCTCCAAATTTGGGAATCGTGGGTGTAACATATAGGCATGCAGCATAAGAAGAAACTACACCCAGATCAGTAAGTCCTCAAATTCAAAATAGCTGGAGACTGAGATAAGATTGTGGAAGTTTTATATGCTTGCCCTCTTTCTATAACGTTTCCTAGGCAGCTCACTTCTGACCACAGTCAGAAAAGAAGATGCTGGGCTGGGTGAGTTTATGGCTTGACTCAGTAAACGCATCTTATATCAGCCCCATCTTTTGAAAAGATAATGTAGCACTGGAATGAATTGACTGACAATTTGTTCTTTAGAATAATGACAAGGGGGGAAAAAACCAAAAAAAAACCCAAGAAAACCCCGAAATCTTTAGATCATACATCATCTTAGAATAACTTAGTGATTTATCTAAGTCCAAATGTACGATGTCCAAACTTGACAAAAGATAAGATTATATGATATGACAATCTGGAAGTGAAAGTTCTGCTATTGAGCTATTTTTTTCTATCTAAGCACCACAGTACAATATGTCAAAACCCACAAGCAAGTCAAATGCAATCTGAAGGCAGAACCAAGCAGCTGAGTCAAGGAGTTCAAGGTAGGCAACTGACAGCTATCACTAATTCTTTTTGCAATAGATATGAAAAATAGTTTTCATATTTAAACCTCTAAGATGCTGACGACTCAAATGTTTTATATACTGATTTCAGCAAAACTTAACTGATTTCAGTAATGACAGACATGTGCATATGTTGATATAATAACTTACAGTTTCCTTATACTGGAGTTACTCACACAAGAACATTGGTATTTCCTAAATCACTCTTTGTGGGCGTTCACTTTAAGTGAGCAAACAGGAAAAAAGTTGCAAAAAGGACTTCCTCCTAGGATTTCTACATCAGTTCAGTAAAAACCAATAAAGTAACAGTTCAGTGTTACTCATATAGATTAAGTCTTTCTCCCTGGATAGAAGCATGGCCACAAAACTACCATCTCAAGACGAATTTCAGAACTGGACAACTTTTCAAGTTGCAGATCTCCTAAGACAGGTACTAAATGTATATGTAACACTTTAGACAGCTCAGTCTACATTCAGCTAGCAGAAACTCTTACTGGATTACCTTTGAAAACCAGATATATTAACCTAAATCTAGCACAAATATTCACTAGTACTGAAAATAGATTAGTCACCAATTGCCACCCCCACGAACTTATTAATATTACTTGAGGTTTTTTTGACTTTCCTGTTTTCTATAGAAATCTAATTCATGGTAGAAGCTGCTAGCTAAGATCTCCTACATGACAAATCATACAAAAAAATGTTTGCTCACAGGGATATTTCTTACAAGAGAAAAGGTGTTTCATGCCTAAATTTATTTCCTGATGGGAAAAATAACCATTTCACAGAAAATAGGTCTAGGTTTTATATTCGAATATCACTTTGAAATTTACAGTCTTTCAATAAGAATTTACTGTTAATCTTTTCTTCTCAATGCATATATACCCACAGTAGTTGCTAGATGTTGCTTAAGTTTAAGGTACTTGAGCTTTTTTCAGTTTTTGAATCATTCCTTTATTGGCTTGTACATTACTTAGTTCTACAGTGTCCTTTCTGGTATATGTAAAATAACCTGAATTGCACAAAGCATTCCAAGCTCATTTTCAGACATCTTTCACTACTTTAATAATCTCCTCACAGATATATAAAATATATCCTCCATGATATAGCCTTTTTTTATATCATATTTTTCCTTATAACTTACTGAATACTATGAAAAGTTTTAGACTTCTACCTTAAACTGACAAAGTCCATTTACTACAGTTGCAAATATAGTCTCACTTTACGTTCTTTTTGTTTTTAGGCAAGTTTCTCTCTATAATTTTTTATGTAAGATTTTTTTATCTTGTGTTTATCCTAATTCTAACTGCAGAAGCACCAATCTTTTGCAGTACCTTCTTTACACTAAGAGTGAGAATTTATTGTTATTAGGGTTTCTCATCCTTTTCTATTGAAGCCATGCAAAGTTTGAGATGTTCATTTTGTATTATTATTTTTCCATTTTGCCTGTGTGCTCATTCCTGTACAATTAAAGAAAAAAACCAACACAACAAAACTACAAACAGATTCCTAATGGAGATGTATCACAGGTGGAACATTGTCCCCACATTGAGAAAACTAACCTGTTCTATGGAATTAATTCATACCATAATGATAACTTATCAGCTAACCAGTGAACTTATTACCAGGAACAGCTACTCAGAGGATTAATTAACTCAAAGCCTTTCAGCTGAAAGGAAATCAGACTAATTTATAGAAGTTATAATGGGTTTAAAGTTCTGCAATTCTACAGTAGAATACAAGACAGAAAGTTTATAACAATTGTTCAACAACCCAGAGGCTTTCAGGGAAATTCCAGGCACGTCATAACTACTGGCTTCATACTTGTTAAGAGAGAATCTTCCAACTTCATAAAAAGCTGTTAATGTCTATGCTCACACTCTCATCGCTGATTAAAGCAGCTAAATAATCCAATTACTGTAGGATAACCCACATTAAATGCTTGGCCATTCTACACTGGAAGCAGCAGGCATTTGCTTGCAGCTATCGTGTACAGAGCTGTCAGCTACCACTGCCAGCACTCCAGAGAGCCTCAGCCACGTGCTACCATCATGTCTGTAGTCAGACAACACACTGGAGGCTGGGCTGGATCTCCCCACCCTGAGACGGGCTGTACATATGCAAGAAGCCTAAAATAACACTGTTAAGGTTACAGAAACAAGCACTGAAATGTGCCAGAACTTGGATTACCTCTATAACCTGAATTTCTCACCTTTGACATACACACCACAATAGCCTGTAATTGCTTCTTCACATATTACCTTTTCCATTCACAAACACCTGCCTCTGGTAGTGTAGAAAAACCAGTAGGTTTATGCACTACTCTTGGTCGTTACAGAAATTGTAAGGTGCACAAGGCCAGGGCTTGGTGAAAAAGAGAGAATGAATACATAGTAATGTAGTAATGTTGATTTAATTCTGCCTTGAAATACCAGATTCTGTCACTGCCCCAGCTCAATATTTTTACCTGAAGACATGCAAGTCACTCAGAAAAAACATGATATTGCCCAAGGGCTTGACCTGCGGCGGTGAGAGGTAAGAGCTGCAACCACAGTGGCAGCTCCTCTCAGAAGGTAAAATGCCAAAATACTGAATATACAAATATACCTGTATATCTCATAGATCTAAACAGTTGTAGTTAGGCATCCAAAAACACTGGATGCTGGACAAGGTTTTTTTCTTCATGCACCTTATCTCCTGTAATCTGTCTTCCTAAGAAAGAGGTAGTACCCTGTCTTATCTCTCATGTGAAAGTCATTGCCAAAGCATTACAGTTATTCTGTCCAATATTCTTCTTCTAATTATCCTTGTCAACTAGTATAACTATTTCCACAACACTGAGTATTTGAGTATGGAAATATTAATTAGTTTGTTTACAAATGGTAAGTTTCATACTATTGTAATAATTCTATCTTATTCTCATCTCAGTTTGGAATGCCTGAATCTGCTGTGGTTGTAGAAAAACTGCACATGAATGGATCTCATTTCTTGGTAAGCAAATATTCTGTAAGAGCTATCATTAAACCACATCTCAACATGAGGATTGTATTCCTTACAGTGCCAGGAAATAGTCTGAAATTTTCCTTCTGTATGCACACTTCATCAGTTGCTCTGGTTTTGCTTTTTAGTGGACTGGTTTACACCTCTGACTCAAGGAATCCCCCTACATGAAAGAAATCCCTGCCAGCCCTTACCCTGCTCCAGAGAAAGGGCAGATATGTCGTATCAGCCACTAGCACACAGGTGTGTCAGGGAACATTTCATGAAACGCAACTTGGAGGAGGTTGGCAGCTTTTTTAACAATATACCTGTTTTAAAGCCACTGTTTATGTAAAAGTTTTTTCACAAAACTTGCATTATTAAGAACATTTTTACCAGTACAGAATTCTACATAAATTTTACAATAAAAGTTTAGAGATATCGGAAAAAAAGCCTGAAAAAATCTGGTAACTTTCTTTCTTGACCTATGTAGAATTTTTTGCATAACAGTGTGTTTAATTGATTGCAATTCATTAGAAGACATGAATAGAATAACTCCTTGAACTGCAGCAATTCCACTACCACTAATTCCAGCTATTGAAGCATAAGTTCCTTAAGACCTATTTTAAAGGTAAAATTGTTATTATGGTGTATTTATGCAATGCAGGGATACTATGTTTGCTTGGCAATTCATTGCTCAACAAAGTTGTTTGCTGGGTGCATGAGGAGTTTTACCTCCTGTTTATGCTAACAAGGGCTTCAGTCCTGCAAAGTGATTCATTAGACAACAGGTACATGCATGGCCACAGTAAAATTGGATTTTACTAACAATTCATACAAGCACAGTAGGGCTAACAAAGCTGTAAAATACAGACTGATTCCTGTCCCATTCATCCATTCTAAACTGAATCACTAAAGGTGCTGCAGTCTCCATTGCTGGATGAGAGGCACCTAAGGGTGGCTGTGTTGTCTTCTTGTGCCTGCTGCAAATAAAGCTGTACAGCAGCAGTGGACAAGGATCTGAGAAGTAATTTCAGATGTTACTGGTAACCTATTCAAAACACAAGTGAAAAAAGCAAGGAGAACAATGGATGATCTTTGGTGACAGTCTGCAACACCAAAAGCAGTATGATTAAAAGTGAAAGCATTTGCTAGTATGTTCTCCAAACCATGTAGGCTCTTCAACACGTCTTTAAAGATTATTTTGCACTGCAGAAAACATGACATTATACATGTGATACATGAGCAACATCCATTTTTTATGTCATTATAGAGAAAATGAGACAGGTCTCACACACTGTCAGAAACCTCACTACAAATTTCACTGAATTGTTCAGTAGCATTTTCAACATGATAAATCATTATGCTTGAAACAGAATTATTTATGACAATACTAAAAAAAAAATTATTCAAGAATCTATATTTTGCTATCATTAATAGCATTATTTGAGTAACTAAGATACTGTTCTATGTACAAGCTAATATGTATGCTAACTTGTAACTAATGAAATCAACAGCCAAGGTTTTTATTCCAAGTTCCTAGCCAAATACACAAGAAATCTATATTATGCTAGGAATTAAATGTTCCTTCTCTGTTACAAGTTGCGGTTTAGAAATCACACGCTTAGTAGATCCACCTTAATATATGATGGAGTAACCAGATGGCTAAGGTACACATTTCCACTCAGAAAATCTGAGTCTCTGTCTACGTCACTTACAGTGTGACTCCTTAACTGGATTTACTTGTTTGTGTAGAGGTGTCCAGAATTCCAAAATTCAAAAAATCCTCATGCTGTTATTTTGTTGATTTATTGCCTTTTGCAAGTACCCGAGGTTTGGCACTTCAGTTTATCATTCAGTTATAAGATTTCCTTCTACTGCTGTCTGCAAAGTCTAAACAGAAGCTCAATATCACCTTCAGACATTGAGCTCAGAGTCCCTAGAGAAAAGTTGGCTATCTATTGCTAGACAGCAGTGAACAAAATAAACCCCAAACAAACAAAAACCCATAAAACAAAACACTTGAGCGAGCCTGACGCCATCTACAAAATAGGAGTGGCAAGTTTACCTTCACACATTAATAATTTTTAAAAAGCAAATACACTATCTGCATGTGCATAGAGACACCATGAACACACGTAGATCTCTTGATACATGTGTAGTGTTTCTATATGTCTACCCGACTTTAGATTCATATTAAGATACAGATCTGTTTTGCTATGAGATCTGTTAGGAATCAGCAGACAGAAAATTCCTTCTAGCCTGATAAAGAAGAAAGCAACTCTGTGGTATCTGCCATAAAAGCACAGTGAATTTTCCCCCACCACACATTCAGAGAGGCACAAGTTACTGTTTTACCTTTCCACAGGCTGAAAAACTGTCTTCCATAGTGGGTGTTGCTGCAGAAGGCACACCAGAGTGCCTCTAAAGGCTGGCAGGACATCCCAAGGGGAGACATCCTGATGCCTACCAGCAGCTCTTCACAATTCTCAGACAAACTCTTCTCAATGTAAAACTCCTCCAGCCTGCCCCAAACCTCCACTATGGAAATAACACATGAAGCATATGCAGCACAGGTATTTCGTACCAGTGAGATATGTCAAAATCCAGAGGAAGTGCCCTTTGGGGCAGGTGGCATGCAGGTGGCATGCTGGCCCACTGGTGCACAGCACTGGAAGGAACCTTTCCTGGAAAGAAACACAAGCAGCCTGTGCGCTGCACTTTAACCATGGGATATAAACACCCCGTAGATATGCCTCTGCTTCCTGTGTGGTTTCAGCAAGGACACTCATCTTTTTAATCTTTCCAAAGAGGAATGTTGTCAAATGTTGGGGAAATGCTGCAGAAATAATTATTCTTAAAGCCTACCACTGAACTAATGAAAAACTTCTTAAGGGGCCATCCTGCATATGTCCTTTGTGTAAAGTACAAACGACGTTGTATTTGAAAGTGAATCAGATGAACTTATCAACACTAAGGTCTTTTTGAAGTTTAGAGTGTTCGAAGTCAAGTCATGCAGACATTATAGCCACAAAATCTGTGATAAGTCAACCACAACACCTTAAATTGATTTGACTGCTTTCAGAATAGAAATAATCAACATTTATATGGTCATTTCTTTGAATATTTCTTGTCTTTGAGTGGCTAAAAGACAATCACTTTTATGGTAATATTATATTCTGTTTTATAAACATATTGAGTATCAAACTGAACTTTTATAGGAAACTAAATTACATGCATTTTATAAAAATTTAGAAGTAATAGCTCTTTCTTTACACTTCTGTATAATCTAAAAACACAGAAGAGTGGTATATTAGATCAGAATTGTACCATGCAGTTTCGTTTTTCATCAATAGTACCATACTTGTGATAGTTACTCAATATGCAGATCACATCTGAGTGATGCTAATCTAGTCCTAAAGTGCAAATCAGCATTTAGCCACAGCTGCATTGCACAGAGCATATTATATTCTCTCTTGCTTTTTAATGTCTGAACTTGCTACACTGTACTCCTGCTTTTCAGTTCCCTATAAGAGTAGGTTGCTTGTTTGATGTTTTTTTTTAAATTCTGTTTTGAATTCCCAGTGACAGATTGAAAAAGATACAAAAAATAGTGAAGTCTTACTTGAACTTCAGAACTGAAAAAAGGTAGACTTTCTTATTGGATTTGTTTATAGAAATTTACTAAAAGAAACCTCAAACATAGCAAAATGGTCAGACATTGATTCTAAACAGCTTTCATGTATTTCTCCTCTTTCTTGCTACTTCAAAATGCATTTTGAATTGCATGGCTGGAATAGGAATGCCTTGGAGAAAACCAGACCCATGTTATTCACCAATACTCTGCTGGGGATTTTTGAATAACATTTAGAGAACAGAACTTGTGTCTTCCTGTGGGAGATTCCTGACTCCCTGTCAGGGCAAAACACTGCCAGAGCTTGCCAGGTTCAACTCACCGAGCTTGTCCTTTGACATCCATTTTTGTCAGCATTGCTACTGAGAAAAAGCAACTATTGTCTCACTTGGATGCTCATTTCCATCCCTGCAATGCAGAAGCAGCAGACAGGAAAGGACAGATACCACATCTGCTTTCTCTAGTGACCACAGCAACTATACACACCACATCTGGAGTTCTGCTGCTGCTATTTGAAAGCTACAGAGTCCCCACACCACCTTCCCCAGTTTCAGCTGAAAGTTTTTCCCAATGCTGAGAGTGGTAATTTCACAGCACAGGGTCAGGGAATAGGTGGAAGGACAGATTAAAACTAGTTTGGGCTGCCTGGATATCTGTCAGGAAAAAAGCCAACCAACATCAGGTTCTGTTCAACTTGATCTGACATCCACTCCGTACACTTAGTTTTACAAATAAAATTCAGACCATCAATGCCTTGAGTTTCCAGAGGAGGGTAGAGGGAAATCTTTTCTAGGTCTTGCATAAACAACAGAAATTAGAGACTTACTAAGTACATCTTTATAACCTAATTCTTCTGCGAAGAAGACAAAAAACTCCTGCAGTGTTTTCCCTGGGTATCAAGCAAGCATAGAAAGTTTGCATACAGGGAAGGTCAGAGAAATATGGTGCAAGTTGCAGGTACTGCTGAGTCCTACTCTTAGGTTGACTGTTCATAGCTTAATACCACAAGTTCATAGTGAGGCTTTAATAGTATACTGCTTATCTCAGAAAGCCATAAAATAAGCTTTTTACGATCACACAAAACCTAACCTTAATATTAATGTTTTGAGGTATGTTGTGGTATGGTATGTTATGTAGGTGGAAGTCATGTAGGCCCCATTTGTCCCGCCTTTGGCAAGCACACAAGGTCACCATAGCAAAAAACTAACAATTGTTCACCACAGAAAAGCGATGTTACAAAAATACACATTTTCAGCTGCAAAATATGATTAGGTCATGTAGCTGTATTAATTTAATTGCATTCTTGCACAATTTCTATTCCTCTGACATCACTTTCTCCTATTCACATTTATCTACCATTTGACACACACCTCCTCAC